AAGGAGGAGGAGGAGCAGGAGGAGGAGGAGGAAGAGGAGGGGAAGGAGAAAAGAAGGAGGAGGGTAGGGGAAGAAGAAGGAAGAGGAGGAAGAGAAAAGGAGGAGGAGGAGGGGAAGGGAGGAAGAAGAAGAGGAAGAAGAAGGGGAGGAAGAAGAAGGAGGAAGAGGGGAGGGGAGGGGAGGAAGGGGGAGGGGGAGAAAAGGAGGAGGAGGAGGGTAGGGGAGGAGGAAGAAGAAGAAGAAAAGAGACTGGGCTCTTGATTTCAGTGATCAGCACCTCTGAGCGGCCCTGCATCCTCTGGCTCCTAGTCTTCTAGGAAAGACAATAAGATCTGTCTCATTTAAGCCACTATTGGATGGGTTTTGTAACTTTTAGCCAAAACCATTGGTCACTGATGCAAATGAACAGTCCCAGAAGTAAGCGGTATGCAGAAAGGACTGATGGGTTTCTAAGCAGCAGGACCATTGTGGCAGATGCATCAATCAAGTCACCTATCTGATAGTATTCCCTTCTCAGACACGTGTATTTTCACAAGTCTTCCTGAGAAAAAAATGAAATTGATCCACACCCTTCCCAAAAATCGTTAAAGGTCATTGGCTGGTGGTTGTACAGATCATTGTACAATGTTATGCAAGGATGCCCCTTTGTCTTTTCCCTAAGGCCCAGACAGGCATAGGGTCCAAACTGGGATGTCTGCAAGAAAGGATGCTGGTATTTTGTTCCACTGTTGATTATCTGTCTAGCCAGCTGATTTGCAAAACTTCTCATCTACTACTTGAGCTGGGGAAGGTATGAAATGGCATGGCAGAGGGTTATCAGGTAGGGAGGGTGCCAGAAAGGTCACCTTGAATTCTTACTCCCTAGGAATTAAAGAAAATAAACTCCACACCTTCACATAAAATACACTGTAAATGGTACCTGAGGAGGTGGGCAACATGGTGGTCCTGATACGCTTCAAGGGAGGAGTTGGGGGCCCACGACCCAGTATCACCACCTGTAACATTGAGGGGAATGGTCATACTCAGTCCGGCATCTGCTACTAAGATGTGTCCCCAGATCATTTGTCTTCTAGAGAGGATTATACTTAAAACCTGGAGGACTATCTCTGATTCCCATGACACCAATTAGGTGTACAACGATCCAACTCTATTCGGACACTGACTAACCATAGTGTCAGACTCCATAGGTTTAAGGGCTCAGTCCCACAAAACAGCCCGCACTTGGGATGCCAGCCCTGAGTCCTGGGTTTCTGGGTTACCTGCATTTTCATTCAACTTGGCTACAAATTCAGGAATCCCCATGGCCCATGCCTGCTTCAGGTATAATAATTTGCTAGAATGACTCACAGAGCTCAGGGAAATACCACACTTACAGTTTATTATAAAGGAAATGAGTGAACAGCTAGGTGAAGAGGTGCATAGGGTAAAGGCTGGAAGGGTCCCGAGTTCAGGAGCCTCTGCCCCTGTGGAGTCAGGGTGCACCATCCTCCTCATGCATGAATGTGCTCATCAACTCAGAAGCTCCCAAACCCTTCTGTTTCCTTTGGGGGATTTTATGACAATTTAATTACATAGCCATGGTTGATTAAATCATGTTGATTTAAATCATGGTTCATTAAATTCAGCCACTGGTGACTGAATTCAAACTCCCACCCCTGTCCCCTCCCCAGTGGGACTGAATGTTTCATCCCTGTAATCACATGTTTGATTCTTCTGATGACCAGCCCCATCCTGAAGTCATCTAGGTACCCAACAAGAGTGACCTTATTCACATACACTTTCATATATGGCTGAAGACAGACAAGGACTCAAAGGCTCCTTTGAGTAACAAAACATACTCCTTTCACTCAAAAAATTCCAAAGGATTTAGGAGCTCCTTGTCAAAAACCAGGGACCAGACAAGGACCACATATCTATATTACATTATTCCATGGGGATTATATAATAATTGGTGTCTCACCAATTATTGATTAAGAAGTCTTAACTTTTTGGAGTATAAACAGGGTTACTAGGACCCTTTTGAGGATGAAAAAGGATGCATAAACCAGGACTGTCCCGGGCAAATTAGAATGTGTGGTCCCCTTAATATAGAAATTTACCACTCTCTTTCAGTAGGTACACTAACTAACACATACTTCTGTTTCCCTGCCCCCCGATCCCCCACTTTGCTCCACCCATTGAGTAGTAAGTCCCATGATGTCATCTTGGTGAGGTTCCTTAATTTACCTTCACTTTTCTGCAAAGGTATACAATTAAGGTACCACAGCATACTCAACTATGAAGGTGCAGCGATAGATGGAGAAATGAATCCCTTAACTCTCAGAGTAGCCTGGGTGGGGCCTGGGGCTGTCAGAGCCCTTGGCCAGTTGCCTTGGCCCATGAGCGGTCAACAAATGTCATCTTTTCTTTGAGATTTGGAAGCACTGTTTTAAGCCGTTAGTAAAATCTTGTTTTGACATTTAAGATACAATTTTGTTTGTTCAATTATTTCACTGCAATTCCAAATGCAGCTAAAATCCTTTTTCTCCTCGTTTGTGTGTTATGAGTTAGTAACAGGAGCTCCCTCTGGGTGGACAGAGAATGTGATGGCTTCGGCAGGCAGAGAGTAAGCATGGGATCTCAGCCCCGTCTACATCTCAGCTGGGAACCCATGTGCAGGGCACAAAACATTCATGGTCGGATGGGCACACTCCACAGAATACACACCATAGAAGATGCCATGTAGCCATTGTCCCCTGGAGTTGTGCAGTGTCATTGCCCTGGGCTGCTTCCTCTCCCAAGAATTGACTGTGCTGCAAATACAGTCAGTTTCACTGTAAAATGACGTACGTGTTCCTGAAAATCACTGTGCTATGTAAAATTGTGTGATTAAAAATCATAGGGCAGGTTTGGTGTGGTGGCTCATACCCTGTCATCCCAGCACTTTGGGAGGCTGAGGCAGGTGGATCAGCTGAGCTCAGCAGTTTAAGACCAGCCTGGCCAACATGGCAAAACCCCATCTCTGCCCAAAATACCAAAATTAACCTGGCATTGTGGTGCACACCTTTAGTCCCAGCTACTCGGGAGGCTAAGGCACAAGAATCTCTTGAACCCAGGAGGTGGAGGCTGCAGTGAGCTGATATCATGCTACTACACTCGAACCTAGGCAGTAGAACAAGACTCTGTCTCAAAAGAAAAAAAAAATCACAGGGCTTATGGAAAAATGGAGTTAAGACACACTCAAAAACATTATCAGTGACACATTACAAAAAAGATAGGAAACTAATAAAAATGGTAGCACAGTCTCAAACGTGTTAGATGGTTAAGAAAGACATAAACACCATGCTATTGTTTGGATGTGTCCCCCAAACTTCATGTGTTGGAAACTGAATCCCCAGTGCAACAATGTTGAGAGGTGGGACCTTTAAGAGGTGATTAGATAGTGAGGGCTCTGCCCTAATGAATAGATTGATGCTGTTATCATGGGACCGGGTTAGTTATTGTGAGAGTGGGTTCCTGATAAAAAGGTTGAGTTCAGCATCCTTCACTTCTCTCTCTCTTTTTCACTCATGTGCTCTTTTGCCCCTCAGCATTTCACCATGGCATGATGCCGCATGAAGGCCCTTGCTAGAAGCCAGTGCCATGCTCTTTGACTTCCCATCCTCCAGAAGCATGAGCCAAATAAATTTCTGTTCATTGTAAATTACCCAGTCGGTGGTATTCTGTTGTAGTAACACAAAACGGACTAAGACACACTACAATAAATACGGCAGTTTATCTTGAATAAAACCTGAAGTTTAAAGTTGAGGAACAGGTGACAGCTTGTGAGATATCATGCAGTGGTAGAAGTGTTACCAGAAAGGAGTCCCAATCCAGGCCCTAAGAGAGGGTTGTTTGACCTTGTACAAGAATTTGAGGTGGCCGTGCGTGGTGGCTCACGCCTGTAATCCCAGCACTTTGGGAGGCCGAGGCGGGTGGACCATGAGGTCAAGAAATTGAGACCATCCTGGTCAACATGGTGAAACCCCATCTCTACCAAAAATATAAAAAATGAGCTGGGCATGGTGGCGCGTGCGCCTGTAATCCCAGCTACTCAGGAGGCTGAGGCAGGAGAATTGCTTAAACCCAGGAGGCGGAGGTTGCGGTGAGCTGAGATTGAGCCATTGCACTCCAGCCTGGGTAACAAGAGCAAAACTCTGTCTCAAAAAAAAAAAAAAAAAAAAAAAAGAATTTGAGGTGGCCGGCGCGGTGGCTCACACCTGTAATCCCAGCACTTTGGGAGACCGAGGTGGGAGGATCACGAGGTCAGGAGATCAAGACCATCCTGGCCAACATGGTGAAGTCCCGTCTCTACTAAAAATACAAAAATTAGCTGGGCATGATGGCGCACTCCTGTAGTCCCAGCTGCTTGGGAGGCTGAGGCAGGAGAATTGCTTGAACCCGGGAGGCGGAGGTTGCAGTGAGCCGAGATTGTGCCACTGCACTCCAGCCTGGCACCTGGCAACAGAGAGAGACTCTGTCTCAAAAAAAAAGAGAAAAAAAAAGAATTTGAGGTGAGTTCATATAGTAAAGTAAAAGGAAGTTTATTAGAGAAGTAAAGAAACAAAACAATGGCTACTCCAAGCAGAGCAGCCCCAAGGGCTGCAGGTTGGCTGTTTTTACAGTTATTTTCTAAGTATATGCTAAACAAGGGGTGGGTTATTCATGAGTTTTCTGGGAAACAGGTGGGAAATTCCCAGAACTGAGGATTCCTCCCCTTTTTAGATCACATAGATGAACTTCCTGATGTTGCCATGGCATTTGTAAACTGTCGTGGCACTGGTGGGATTGTCTCTTAGCATGCTAATGTATTATAATAAGTGTATGATGAGGAGTGAAGACAGCCAGAGGTCACTTTCCTGGCCATTTTGGTTTTGGTGAGATTTGGCCAGCTTCCTTACCTCATGCTGTGTCATTAGCAAGGTCTTTGTGAGCTGTGCCAACCTCCTATGTCATCGTGTGACTAAGAATACCTAACCTCCTGGAAATGCAGCCCAGTAGGTCTCAACCTCATTTTATCCAAGATGGAGTCGCTCTGGTTCCAATGCCTCTGATAGAAATACACACCATAGAAGATGCCATGTAACCATTTTCCCCTGGAGTTGTGCAGTGTCATCTGAAATCAGGACATCAGCTGTAACACCATTTGGAGGTAGGTGTGGCTCATAACACACTTGGAGAACTGAGGCAGTTGGTAGGTGTTTGAAGTGTATGTATTTATATGTTCTGTTGAATTCCTATTCAGCATTCCTATTGATGCTATTGAATTTTACTAGAGTCCTATGATCCTGGAAGACAGCAATAGGTAAAGAAATACCGTGACTATTCTGTGTTCTGGAAACAGCTTACTACAGTGACACTTCACATGTGACTTAAACACGCCTCATGGAAGGTCCGTTGTTAATCTGTGACAAGGCCGGACACAGATCCTCTAAATGGCTTTTCTCAAAAGCCTTGTAAAATGCATAGCTGAAAAAAAAATTAAAAAAAAAAAACACATAGCTGAACTGCTTTGCCCCGCTGATCTATCAATCAAAACCAAAATCCTTGTTAACCAAACAGGTTAAGCTTCTCTCCTTCCCTGAGGCCCCTGCGCCTTGGCCCACCCTCAACCTCAGCCACAGACAGCCCCTCCCTATGAGAGATCCTCCTGGGAGCAGGCCGACATTCTGTGATCTGCTCTATTTGATCACAAAAGGCTTTTATCTTAGCGTTCACACTGGTTCCTTCTAGCCTTGTTTACTTCTCTCCATAAAAGAAAAACTGGTTTTGCCTAACCCTGGAGATGCTTACAGATCTCGTGGTTAAAGTGTTCTTTCTTTTGCCATAGTCCACAGCCCTCTGTGAAAAATCCTAAAATAAAAGTTTTCTTACCTTGGTCCAGGTTTGCTTCTCACTTGACGCTGTACGGCTCAGCTCAGCTGGAAGCAGTTTTCTGCTTTCACCTGCTGTCCTGCGGATGAAATCACACAGAAACAAATGCAAAATTTGCATTATGCTCAAATTGTTCTTCAATATATCAATTGCACTGGAACAAATTTGCATTTTCAAAACAAACTCTAAAGCAGAACAGACTACAGATGTCTGACCCAGACACTTTGAACCACAGTGGTGGACACAATTATTTACATGCCGGGATCCCTGTTATGTGACAGGTTTTTCTTTTTTAACTTATGGAAAGAGAGATGCCAGGTGAGCATTTTTATATGTGCAAGAATCCATTACATCTCAAAGGTCTCTCACGCTTATCTTTAAGTAAAGCCTTTCTTCATAGGCTTCCTCTGAGAATTGAACTCACATTCACACAAATGATAGAAACTCGAGGTGAGAAGGGATTTAAAAATCTTACACTCCAACACCTTCATCTTACAAAGAAAGAAAGTAGTGTTGCTGACCATGAGCTCCCTGAGGCAGATTCTGGGCTAGATCCATATCTGAGACCCTCATGCCTAGCTCCAGACCTGGTACAATGAGGTACACAGGTGTGCTTGCTGTTTTGAATCAAAATGAATTACCCAAAGGGAAAATAACGTGAAGAGCACACAAGAAGAGCTTGCTTTGTAGCCTCTTTTTTTTTTTTTTTTTTTAAATCAGAGTTTTACTCTGTCACCCAGGCTGGTGTGCGAAGGCATGACCATGGCTCACTGCAGCCTCAACCTCCTGGGCCCAAGCAATCCTCCTATCTCAGCCTCCCAAGTTGCTGGGACTACAGGCACACACCACCACCATTGGCTAGTTTTTAATATATTTATTTTTACTTTGTAGAGACAAGATGCTCCCTATGTTGTCCAAACTGGTCTTGAACTCCTGGGCTCAAGCAATCCTCCCACCTCAGCCTCCCAAAGAGCTGGGATTACAGGCATGAGCCACTGTGGCCGATCAGTAGTCGCCTCTTGAATGACACCAACTGGTCAAATGCTTCCTTCCAAAGTCAACCAACAATTCCGATCATTGTCTGTCCCACCCTCCAGTTGTTTCCTAAACCACCAAAAACGCAGAGCAAGTTTGTGCTCAGGGAAGACTGAGTTGAACATTTTCTGCTTTTCCTCTTTGATTGTTTTTGCCTATATCAAAGTGGGTGATGTGGATTATAAATGATCAGACTACACATTCTAAAAGTGACTCCTTTGAGAGTTTTTAATCTATCCGAGACACAGACAGGCACAGCATGAAAAGTGAAAATATCGCAGCTTCATTAGGGAAAATTTATAGCTTGTCTAAGGTCACCATGGCGACCAAAAGACAGGAACTATTTGTTGATGCTAGTATCTGTAGAATAGCTCAGGTAAGGGCAGAGCTACATTTATTGACAACAAACTATGCATCAGGTTGCTTAGCATGCATTGCTTTATTTATTTATTTAGATGGAGTCTCGCTCTGTCACCAGGCTGGAGTGTAGTTTCGTGACTCTCACTACAACCTCTGACTACCTGATTCAATCGATTCTCCTGCCTCAGGCTCCAGAGTAGCTGGGATTACAGGCACATGCCACCACACCCAGCTAATTTTTGTATTTTTAGTAGAGACAGGGTTTTACCATGTTGGCCAGGCTGGTCTTGAACTCCTGACCTTGTGATCTGCCCACCTTAGCCTCCCAAAGTGCTGGGATTACAGGAATGAGCCCATGTGCCCAACCTAACATTGCTTTATTTAATCCTCATAAGCACATGTGAGATCATCAGTGTTCTCCCATTCAGAACTGAGGAAATTGAGGCTCAGAGGCTGAAAGCCATTTATTGAAGACCACACAAGACTGATCTGAACTCAGTTCTGTCTGACCCTAAAGCCTCCATGAGTTGGGTCTTTTAAGATTGTAATGGTAGCTGTGATCAGGTTGATGCATTGGCACCCTCAGGGAAGCACATCAGTGGGGTGGCATAGTCAGGACTCAGGAGGACACTAGCCTCCCCCAGGATGCCACCATTCCCCAGAGCCAGCTCATTTGTTGCTCTTTCCTTTTTCCTACTTTAGTTTCTTCCTTCTGTGTTCCCTGAGAAAAAGTTGGATTGGTTTCCCAAGCATAACCACATACAGAGTAGAGTTGTGGCCCACCACAATCACCACAGTGGCTGTCTTGGGTCAAGGTTCATTCTTTGTCTAATCAGTTGAGTCTGGTGATTAGTATGGGTTCTCTCAGAGGCAAGGATTTGAATACAAGTTTGTCTTTGGAAGGTGTAGAACAGACTGGTAGGGGAATGTGGAGTGACACAAAGACTGCCAGGTACGGTGGCTCACACCTGTAATCTCAGCACTTTGGGAGGCTGAGGTGGGTGGATCACAAGGTCAGGAGTTTGAGATCAGCCTGGCCAACATGGTGAAACCCCATCTCTACTCAAAATACAAAAATTAGCTGGGTGTGATGGCACACACCTGTAATCCCAGCTACTTGGGAGGCTGAGGCAGGAGAATCACTTGAATTCGGGAGGTGGAGCTTGCAGTGAGCCAAGATGGTGTCACTGTGCTCCAGCCTGGTGACAGAGACTCCATTCCCCCCAACTCCCCACAATAAAAGAAGTGACGCAAGGAAGGGAAAGTGCATTATTAAGCCAGCTACCATAGAGGGCAACTAAAGTTTAATTCCCTGAGAGGAAACACAGCATGAAACATATGCCTCAGAATTATCCCACCCAAAGGAGGAGGAAATAGATGTATTTATATACAGACTTCCTACTGTCACTGAGGATACTAATTCCCAGTCACTTTCACCCTGCGCTGTGCCTGGGAAAAGCCACCTTCCTCAGTTCCTGGGAAAATAAAAAAGCCTCTGGGTTGTAGATACCGGAAGTTTGGAATGGGTGGGAGCCCACTAAAAGGTCACAGGGAAACAAGTGCAGCAATGACATCTCTGCTACTCCAGGGCTTCAGGTCACATGAGCAAAAGCATGGCAACCCCTGTGCAAGGATCTGCTGCCTCTGACCACTCAACTCATACATGAACTGATGGAGTGGCAGACACTGAGTGTGATCTCAATTCTTCGGTCAACCCAAGTAACAGAGAGAGAAGCTCTCTAAGAGAAAATGATGTTTGTTATTCAGGAATGAGCATTACAATGGGAGTACATGTGGGTATAATCAGGGAAGTAAAGGAAGACAAGGGTTTTTTTTGTTTTGTTTTGTTTTGGTTTGGTTTGGTTTTGTTTTGAAACAGAGTTTCATTCTTGCTGCCCAGACTGGAGGGCAGTGGCTCGATCTCTGCTCACTGCAATCTCTGCCTCCCGGGTTCAAGCGATTCTTCTGCCTCAGCCTCCCAAGAAGCTGGGATTACAGGTGTGCTCCAACACACCCAGCTAATTTTGTGTATGTGTGTGTGTATTTTTAGTAAAGACAATGTTTTGCCGTGTTGGCCAGGCTGGTCTCAAATTCCTTATCTCAGGTGATCCGCCTGCCTCAGCCTCCCAAAGTGCTGGGATTACTGGCGTGAGCTACCTCAGCCAGCCCACAGAAGTATTTTTTGTGTGTACTGTTGTAGCGACTTTTTGTGCAAGGTTGTTTTTGCAGTTTTTTGTGACCGTTCTTGTTACTAGGCACACATGCATGAGAACCCCCGCTTCATGGCTTCGTTTGTCAATTTGGTTTCACACAAGTGATACCATTTTGATTCTGACAACTTTTGTACTTTCCTTTTTTGATCCAGATCTTTCTCTGAAGGCTTGTGGTTAGGTTTTGACTGTCTCTTGGTGTAGACGTAACTTGTCCTGAGTTGTCAGTCTGGTCCCACTTCAGAAGGAATTAACTGTCAAGTAGGAGTAAGTGTCAAAACCCTTTTAGCTACATTTGAGCAACAGATGAGATTTGGAGGGGATGGCGCTCAGGCTAAGTCTACCTGGAGTCCATTGTCAAGTTTAATTTTGTCTGTTCCATAGTGTTGGCTAGCATTCAAAGCTCTGGGACAGCATTATAGTTAGAAGTCATTCTCTTGGAAATTTAACAGGCAACAGATACAAAGTTATAAAGGAAACTGAGGGAGTGGCAGACACTGAGTGTGATCTCAATTCTTCTTTGATATAACTGATACTACTATCAGTTATATCAAAGTATAACTGATAGTAATAAGATCATTTCAGTTAGCATAATAGTTCTGAACCATGAACACAGGCTTCAAGGCAACCGACTAATAAATCAAATGACCATAGCGAATTAGGTGAGACCTACTGCTTCTATGTGACCTGTTTCTTACTTTGTGTATTTGGGTCTCAACTTCCCCAGAGGAATTTATCCAGGTATAGCATGTAGTATTAGAACTAGCACAGACACTGCCTTTTCCAGCTAGATAAGAGCAATTCTTCCATCTATTATGTCATGACTGGGTTGAGATAAAGCAGAGAGTGACAGTTGTATTAGGGACTTCGTTAAAATTATCTATTGAATGGACTAAAGGCTTTTCTTTTCTCTTTTTTTTTTTAGGCCATGTAAATATTTAGGATCGGCATGACAGATGCAACATTTGGTCAGGTTCCCCGCAGAAGCTGCTGACTGTGAAATTTTAATTGCATCATTATTATGCCAAGTGAAAAAGGCATAAGCAAGGAAAAAGTAAGAGGGGCAAGAGGCTCATTACGATGGGAAATCTTATTCCATCACGTTAGGAAAAGCTGTCCATAGCATGAAGATGTCAACTGCTCATCCTGGTTTGTAGTTTAAATGTCTCTGGTTATGGCACTGGGCGGTTTGGTGGACTTTTGGTGTGGCCCACACATCGGGTGTGAGGCTTGACTCCTGAAATTTATACCAAGTTGTCTAACTTCAGCTTAGAAGGCTATAGGAAAGAGCAGTTCCCATTCTTAGCAAATTTTGTGGGAGAAAAGTAGATTGAAGGAGCCTAGAAGAATTTAAGATCCAGTTCATTCCACATAGGTAATTAATAAAAGCTCAAACAAACAAACAAACAAACAAAAACACCCAACACAGGGCTACCATCTAGTAATAGGTATATTATAGTTTTTCTTTAGAAACATAGAAACAAGGCCCAGCATGGTGGCTCACGCCTGTAATCCTAGCACTTTGGGAGGCCAAGGAGGGCAGGTGACCTGAGGTTGGGAGTTCGAAACCAGCCTGACCAATATGGAGAAACCCCCTTTCTATTAAAAATACAAAATTAGCTGTATGTGCTGGTACATGCCTGTAATCCCAGCTACTCGGGAGGCTGAAGCAGGAGGATCACTTGAACCTGGCAGGCAGAGGTTGCTGGAGTGGAGATTGCACCACTGCACTCTGTCTCAAAAAAAAAAAAAAAGAAAGATAATCCCAGCACTTTGGGAGGCCAAGGCGGGCAGATCATGAGGTCAAGAGATCGAGACTATCCTGGACAACATGGTGAAACCCCATCTCTACTAAAAATACAAAAATTAGCTGGACGTGGTGGCACGCACCTGTAGTCTCAGCTACTCGGGAGGCTGAGGCAGAAGAATTGCTTGACCTGGGAGGCGGAGGTTGCAGTGGGCCGAGATCACACCACGGCACTCCAGCCTGGCGCCTGGCGACATAACAAGACTCTGTCTCAAAAAAAAAAAAAAAAAAAAAGAAAGAAAGAAAAAAGAAACATAGAAAGATAATCTTTTTGCTACAGTCATTCTGATTTCTACCAAAGATAATCCAATAAGACTAATTAGTTGTTATTTGTTTTGTTTTATCAAATTTGGCCTGATAAATTCCACAAGCACAGCAGAAATAGTAATTGACCAATAGGAATCTCAGGTTGAACTTTCAAAAATTTCTCAAGGCTAGAAAACTAATCTAAGGTAGAGTTAAGACTTTTTCTGCAGTGCCTATAAATAGCTGAAAATATGACATCACATTTAAAACCTTGGTAATATAACCAATGTTTCCAATTGTATCTTGTTATTTAAAAAGTAGTTTCTTATTAAACTTATGCAAACAACTACATTGCCATAAAAAATAAGAATAATCACAAATAGTTTCCAAATTTTGGAGGGACAGAGAAAAAGTAAATGTTGCCAGTTTTGTTCACAAAAGTATACTTTACCAAATTGCTGTAAACTACAGATAACTTGAGAGACAGTCTCCTTAAATCTGGAAAACAAAACATTTAAGTAAAAAACCAACAATGTTTCAAATATCCATCTTCATTAGATACTAATCTCATGTAATTAACTTTTGTTCTGTTTCATCTTAACTGTCAGTTCCATGAATTTATCAGTTTCTTCATGGGGGGGGGAGGGGGGGTCCTGAATATCTTTACTTAGTCCATCTATCTTAAGTTTATCAGAAAACTATATTCCGGAGTACTTGCCAGCGTCTTTTCCATGAATCTGCAGATGCACTTAGAGAAGAATTAAAACTGTGGAAGATAGAAGCTTAGAACAGCCATGGTTACAAATCTGATGAGAGTTCAGGAACTGACCAGGAAACTCGGTTACATTTATTGCATACAGCATTTTAAGATAACAGCCAGAAAAACGACTAACAACATCACATTAGGAGCATCAAACATTTATACATTTTACATAATTTTAGATCATTCACATCAATAAGGCGGGCATATAAATATAACTTAGAGAAGATTTAGCATCACTTTGTTATTTGATCCCATCTGTGCTTCCAATGCTTCCCATACAACTCAATACATCAAATAAGCCTAATTAGTTTAACATCTCTAAAGCTGAAAAATACATCCTTTGAGGCTCTGAAAACAGCTGAAAAATACATCCTTTGAGGCTCTCCAGAGGCCCAACTAGAAAATCCCAAAGATAATTCTAGGTCAAAAAGACTTCATTTAGAACTCTGGTACTGAGAAAGCCTGCAAGTATGTCAAAAGATATCAAACATTTCATTAAAACAGAATCGCAGATAATAGTGAAATAATAGTCATTCACTTAACAAAAGTGACTGAAGATTTCAAGGTTTGAGGGTAGCAGATCTCACACATGAGTGTGAACACTCAGTCATCATGCTTATGAACTAGAAAAGGATTGGGAGTGAAGATTTCAAAAGTAAGCTGAGCATGGTTGTGTGCACCTGTAGTCCCAGCAACCAGGAGAATGAGGTGGGAGGATCCCTTACGTGAAGTTCAAGGCCAGGCCGGACAACATTAGTGAGACCCTATCTCAAAGAATAAAAATTTCAAAAGCAAATGCATAAAATAGCATGTATTTTTTTTTTAAAGGCTATAAGACTCAGTTTTCCTAAGTAATCAAAAACCTAATAAAGACCACATGAAGCACAGGAAATTACCTTGATAAAACACAGAATCTTTTTTTCCTAGGCCAATTACCAAAAAATAAAGAAAATACTTCAGCAGTGTAATTGCTTCTTATAGGAATTCCTTTTAGATAACCTGAAAATCTAACCTAATGAAAAGGTACTTGAATTCAATTTGACACTGGACAAGTGTGTATCCAAGGTTATGAGTATACACTATATTAAAGAAGTAAACAAAAAAATAAGTACCTTGAGCAGGGAAACATATGGCTGGTAGAAAAAGTAAAAGCACATTAAACTTCCTGGTTACATGGAATAATTCAGACATATCAAGAAAAGCCAGCAGTACAGACTCGAGTTATTGCTGGAGGAAAATACTGCTTTTCTAGGCCTTTAAAACAAACATATCAGCATTAGGTCTCAACAGCAGAGTTAGAACCAGAGAAAATAAGCACAGAAGCTTACCAAAAGGCCAAGGGAGTCATTAAGTTAATTAAGGAAAAAAAAAAAGTGTGCCTTCTTAAGGGGAGAAGGAGGAAGAGCAGAAGATAACAGTCTGTGACCTGCAAATCACGTGGAATGAGGTGAAGCAGAAGCTGAGCTTCTGAGACGTAAATTGGAAAATCTTCAAGAGAAAGACTCTATTTTGAGAAATTAAATTATTGCTTTAAATTTAAAAGATAGCATTCTTAACTTAGAATTAGGGAAATTAAACAGAAACCATAAAACAGGAAGAGGTTATAGTTCAGAAGATGGTAAAAAATTTAAAGAAACAGATAACAGATTTTTTGTTTTGGAGATAGGGTCTTACTTTCTGGCCCAGGCTGGAGTGCAGCTTTATCATGGTAGCTCACTGCAGACTCAAACTCCTGAGCTCAACTGATCTCCTAACTCAGCCTCCTGAGGACCAGGTTGGGAGGAAGACTACAAGTGTGCACCATCATGCCTGGATAATTTTTTTTTTTTTGGTAGAGATTGGGGTCTCATGATATTGGCTAAGCTGGTGGCAAACTCATGGTGGCCTCAAGCAATCCTCCTGCCTCAGCCTCCCAACGCACCAGGATTACAGGTGTGAGTCACCACACCCAGCCAGATTTCAGAATTAAAAATCAAAACCTCTTGTAATTTTTTTTTAGCTGAGAGCTCCTGGGTTCAGGCAATTCTCCTGCCTCAGCCTCCTGGGTAGCTGGGATTACAGGCACATGCCACCATGCCCAGCTAATTTTTTGTATTTTTAGTAGAGACCGGGTTTCACCATGTTGTAACTTTCTTTGCATATCTCTTCTACTTACTGATTTATTTCTGTCTTGTTTTAATTTTCTTCTTAAATCTATATTTTGAAACCACCTTTAAATAATATCTGAATTAGGCCTAGCATTTCTCATCACAATTCAGTGTTTGGAGTCCTGTCACAAAACTGACTTCATAGTTATTGGGGTTAGAGAGGTGATGAATAATTATTTTTTTCAAACCTCTGTATTAGTTCAAAATTACCACAGTTGGTTAGTAAGCTGACTTTTTTATATGTTCTATACAAATAATTGTGAAATTTTAATATATTGAGTGCTTTAATCTTGATAACTGGTCTCCATTGAATACTTTCATTTGTATAATTCATTTGCAGTCTGGAAAAACAATTTGTTTTTTGAGATGGAGTCTATCTCTGCACCCAGGCTGAAGCACCATCTCAGCTCACTGCAATCCCAGCCTTCCGGGTTCAAGTGATTCTCCTGCCTCAGCCTCCCAAGTAGCTGGGACCACAGGTGCATGCCACCATACCTGGCTAATTTTTGTATTTTTAAAGGAGATGGGATTTCACCATGTTGGCCAGGCTGGTCTCCAACTCCTGACCTCAGGTAATCTGCTCACCTGGGCCTCACAAAGTGCTGGGATGACAGACATGAACCACTGCACCCAGCCTGCAGTCTGAAAATTTTTTTAGTGCCAGTCCCTGACATATTATTGGAAATTAATTTTCTTTGCATTTTAAAATATCTGTCTCCTTTCAACTAAAATATCTAATAATCGTCATCATCATCTGCATCAAGAAACAAAGTGATGAAAATAAATTAAAACTAATTTTTTTTTGAGACCTCCCCCTCCCCAAAACCAATTTTTTTTTTTTAATGGAGTCTCACTCTGTGGCCAGGCTAGAGTGCAGCGGTGCCATCTTGGCTCACTGCAACCTCCGCCTCCTGGGGTCAATTGATTCTCCTGCCTCAGCCTCATGAGTAGTTGATTACAAGCATGCACCACTGTGCCCAGGTAATTTTTGTATTTTTCGTAGAAACAGGGTTTCACCATGTTGGCCAGGATCTCTTGACCTTGTGATCCTCCCACTTCACCCTCCCAAAGTGCTGGGATTAATTTTTTGTAGTGATGGAGGTCTCTATATCCACCGTGCCCAGCTAAACTAATTTTTTTAAAAAGACAAAATGCATAGGACAATTAAGGATACGATTTTATCGAG